AGACTACAGACCACTACATGGCCAAGGCGCAGTGAGGGCCTGCCAGCCTTTCCACATCAGGAGCGTTCCCAGGGAAATGAGGCATGGCACTTGAACCTGAAGTCCCTTTCCTTCCCTCTTTGCCACCTGTCCCTCACCAAGTCAGTGGCCTAAGCCAGCCTTTTTTGCAAGACCGGGTAGAAAAAGGGACAGAACAGAGAGCGATAGAAAAATAACAGGGGTGTTGCATTATCTATGTTGGTGCTATTTTGCCTCTTCCCCTAAAACAGAGCACCCCCCCAAGTTCTGAGCTCTTGTTTCGTCTTCACGAGCCTCACTATGGGATGAAAGCATCGGGTGCTATTTGCCAAAAACCTCACTCATTGCAGGTCAGACTGGACCCAGGCAAGAGTCCTGGTGACCAGTGAGGAAAGCCAGGATCAGCAGCCTGGGGCCCTAAAACCAAGAGGGAATAGCTGAGTTCCAGTCCTGATTCAGCCACTAACCCTGCATCTAATTTTGGGCAAGTGACTCTGCACTCTGGGCTTCAGCACCCACATCTGTCAAATGAGGGCCCCGACCTCACGGATTCCAGGGGCTCCTTCCAGCTTTAGGATTCTTTGGCCAACACCCAGACAATTCCTGGAGAGATGTTAGGGCCTTGTTAAGCCGAGTGGCTAGGCAGGAAAGCCCGCTTCCCCCTTTATAGAGATCTCCAGTCAGTCCTTTGAATTAAAAAAAAAAAGACATTGTAACAAATCATGGACAGAAATGGAACTGGAAAAATGGGGGTTGGTTCTCTGGATATAGAGGAAAGGGGAGTAGAGGCTTAGAATTGGCTTCCTTGTTTATTTGCTTATTCATTTTTGCAAGTATTGAATAAGTCATTGCTTTGGAAAACATATCCAGATGAAGGACATTTCTCTGGGGATCGCAACTTTTGGACCAACTGTAGTAAAAATGCAAAACAAAAACTCAAACAAAACCCCTCCAAATTGCCTCCCTGTCTCTCACCACAACCATCTACTTCTTGATCTGTTCCTCCTTGGTGCCTGGACCCTTTAGGGTGCTCTTCCAGTTTCTGGATGCAGTGGGCCTGGGGTGCGGTGATCTCTTCTTCAAAGTTTTATTTTTCACACATTAAATAACTCCAAGTTTCAAGGCATTGCTCAGGTACAAAGTAAAATCTTTAGACAAAAGTCACCTTTTCTTCCCACTATTCCCTCCCTACCCTCCTCCCCCCATGAAGGGGACCAGGGCTTCTGCTAGGATTCCTGCTCCCAAGCCCTTTGCCATAACCCTCATGGTGACCTCTGGCCCCCGGGGGTCAGTCCTGACCTCCCCCTACAGCTGCAAGCCCACCTGCCCGCTCAAATCCAGCCCGAGCCCTGGGACTAACACACAGCTGCTCTGACTTAAAACTCAAGCCCTCAGGGGATGTCTTGGCAGTTGGGGGGGCGGTGCAGTGGGGAAAGGGAGGGAGGTTGGAGGGAAGGATAAGGTGGGGGAAAATTTAAATGGAAAGAAAATGTGGCCAACTGCGCTTGCTCTCCCAGCCTGAGCTGACACAGCAGAAAGGGGCAGGCTGGGGGTGGGAGTGGGGGTGAGGGGGCAGTAAGAAAAGTCAGTAAGTTAAAAGCAGCATCACTTGTCTTCCCAACTCGGTTTTGGTTGGCGCAGGTTGCAGCCAGCCTCTCAAAGGCTCGTTTCAAAGGGAGGGCCTGCGGGTGGGAAAGGCATCTGCCCCCTTCAGTTTTCCAAGATCTTGTTCAACCCAGACACAAATTTGGCCATTAAACCTAACTCTGGAACTTGACTTCAACATGGCATTTGGACCGGGGTTGGAGTGGAAGCCAGGGTTGATGGAGGCCAACCCCCTAAAAGAAGCAAAGGCTGAATTCATTTTTATTGAGGTACTGTTTTTCTTTCTTTCCCAGAGCACATTTTGACTTTCTCTCTTTGTTTTTCAGTGAAACCGTACTGAAGCCCAGAGGTCACTTCTCCCCGCATCCCAAACTTAATGTCCCCCAGGCCCAGGAGAAATTTCCCAGACCAGGGCAAAATGCGCGCTCTGCAGCGCTCCAGTCCACAAAGCCACAAGGTTCCCTCTGCAAACAATGCCCAGAGCAAAGCCCAGCCCTTCCGCAGCTCGATCCAGCTCACGGATCTTTATTGAGCTTGGTCCAATAAATAACTCGTCTCCCGCCCCTTCCAGTCTCCTACGTACTGCCCTCTGTTTCTATATCTATCTTTGCCCCTGAACTCGCCGAAATAAAACGCAGGGCCCTGCGCGATCCCAGTTCCAAGCTCTCTGGCCGACTCCCTCTCCCGTTGCGCAGCAACGCGCGCAGCAAAACACCAGTCTCAGCCCGCCCGCCCTCCGCCCTTCCTCCCAAAGCTTTGGCTGCCTGCCACCTCCCAATCCTCAGCTCCTCATTACTAATTCAAATGCATTCTTTTTTTTGGGGGGGGGGGTTAAAGAAGATATTGGTCTATCTCTACACATGCACATATATTTTGTGCGCGTCGTCTATACCTGTAGTACCTATATTTATATGGAAACCGCGGTAGAGAGGAACACCTAAGTTGGAACTGCTGGTTTTGGTGGGTGGGTGGGGTGAGTGTGTGTTGGGGAACAGGAGTTTTGGTCAAAGGAGCTGACACTCTCCTCCACTCTCGGTTCAATTTCCACTTCTTAAGAAGTGCCTCTGCGCCGTCTTCAACTTTTGGGGGCCCACTCAACGGTTTTTGAGTTGAAAAACTATAGCCAGGAACGCCCACTCCCATCCTCTCTGTCCTGGAGAAAGGCTTCAGCCCCGGCCACGGGTGGAGCATAGCCGTTGGTGACTGCAGACGGTTAGGCACCTGCCTAAGGCGGAGTGGCATCCGAGAGCAGGGCGGGGGAGGGAGAGGGGAGGGGACAGAGAGGCTGTGGGTATTGGCCTCGGGGTACCTTGAAGGCGGAGGTTGAGGAAGGGGCTGCAGAGAAATCTAAAGGGCACGTTGCTTGGGACAAAAGCTGGTGTGCGTGGGTGTGCGCGTGTACACACACACACACACACTCTACATCTACCACATCACACCAACCGCACTGTTGGGCAAATAAAAGCGGGGCCAGAAGGTGGCTGATACCTGGCGTACTTTCGATGTGACCGGATTCTTAACCGGAGCGCTCGCTCTTCCAAGACGGGAAATCGATTCATACCTCTTACCCGCTCCACGCCCCCTTCCCCCAACTTTTTCCAAATCCACAACCCCCACGATGAACTCGGGCGGGACTGCTTTTAAAAAGTGATTCTTAATGGGCGGGACTGCTTTTAAAAAGTGATTCTTAATAAAAAATAACTCCACAAACTGGCCTCCGGGGTTTGCACGTTGCTCTCCGTCTCTTTTGCAGGCAGCAATCTGGAGTGAGACCACCTCTTGCAAAGCTGGAGGGGCGGCCGCCTGTAAGAGGCAAAACCTGCAGTGTTTTGGGACATCTAGTTTGAACCTAGAAAAACTCTCCTGTCTTGTCTTAAGCGCCGACGCACTTCCCTCCTACGTGGTAGTTCTGTAGTTTGCAGTTTTTAGAGAACTCATGTGGGGGTGCTCACGGTGGAAGGGGATAGGAAAGAAAGGCATTGTCCCAGGAGGTAACTACAGAGAATAAACATTACTTAGCCAAGTCTTAATGCCTTTTGAAAAGAATCAACAACCAGTCTGACGTTTGGGAATGCAGATTTTTATATATAGTCCTTGAAACTACTTACAGAAGAATTAAAACCAGTTACCTCTAAAAAGAAACCCCGTCTAATGGGGGCAGAAATGTTCTCATTAAACAAGTAGCTCAGTCAACCTTTTAAACCCGGACTCCCGGCGCTGAGAATTTGTGGGCAGGGCAAGCTGGGGGCGGGGCTACTTAGAGGCGGAGGAGAAGCAACGGGGCGTGGCTTTCCAGACTCTGCCCCCTTTATTTTGTGTTTCCAGGGCTTCTTTTACATTTACACCACACCCACTTGTGGTCAGGTTTGCGAGATGGGGGCGCGAGGATCGGGGGGATTAGTACTGAGGGGGAAGTTGTGAAGTCTGAATTTCACATCCCCCTCTCGCCTCCCAACCCTATATATCCACCTTTCGCCCTAGGTAAAATCTGAATTGGGGCGGGGGAAAAAGTAATTAGATTCAGGGATGAACATCCAGCACAGAACCCCAAACCCTTCTTTCCTACGCACCGCCCCTCCCCCCCACTACCCTATGGACCACCCTGCCTCCCCCGTGCGTGTCTAAAGTAGTCTTTCCCTTCCAGGGAGAAAAAAAAATGAGTATTTTGCATTCAAATCTGTTTTACCATCTACCGCAATCAATCATATAGAGTCAAAAGTAATGGGTGTGCACGTGGGAGGGGCACTGAAGCCCGCACCCAAAAGGCAATAGCTACCAAGGGTGCGTGCCGGGGTGTGTGTGTGTGTGTGTGTGTGTGCGCGCGCGCGCGTGCGTGCGTGCGAGTGTGTTGGGGTGGACAAATAGAAATATCAGAAGGGACGGGCAGGGAAGCAGGGTCTGGGAGGGGCGGAGGTAGAAGGAGCACAGAAATCTCCCCTTTCCAGGTCCCCAGTTAAAGCAGTATTTTAACAAAGAGATTTATTTTTTTCAAGTTCAGAAAAAGAAAAAAATCGTGTTGGGTGGCTAAGAGATGATAGAGGAGGGAGCTGATAATGAAACATGCACCCTTTCAGACTGGAGATTGAGAACCTGGGGATTTGGACCTTGAGACTGAATAGGAGCTCAGAGTATTAAGACCAGGGGGGAGGGGTGGGATGGAGTCGGGTGGGGGTGGGGGCGAGGAGCAGAAGAGAAGACCCCGAGAGGCTCGGAGAGGCAGCCGAGGGTAGCTGGGGTAAAGACCCTCCCCACCCCCGTCCCCGTCCCCCCGGGTTGCATCACGGCTTTAAGCCGCTTTCTGGGCAAAGCGCGCTTGGCCAGCCTGTCCCCTGTCCCCTGCCCGTGCGCCGTGTAACTGGCACACTGAACGCGCTCACCGATCTTGACTTGCTCGCGGTAGCTCTTTTCGTTCAGGCAAACCCCGCGGCCGTGCAGCAGGGCGTGAAGCGGTTTCTCCTCATCCTGCCGTGGGAGGCAGCGCAGCCCCTGGGCGCAGCGCTCAGTGTAGACGCCGCACGACTGCCCCTCCGCCAGGGCGCAAGTCATGCAGCAGCCGCAGCCCGGCTCTTTGACTAGCTCGCAGCCCAGGGGGCTGGGGGGGCACATGGAGAGGGCTTTCTCGTCGCAGGGCTCGCAGTGCACGAAGGAGCCCAGGCCTTGGGCCGGCCCCGCACAAGCGGCCAGCAGCAGTAGGACCGCGGTGAGCACCATCTTCTCCGAGTCTCTCCCTTTACCTTGGGGCGGGGCAGGAGAGCGAGAGTGCAGGGACAAAGGGGCCAGGAGGGTGCCGGAGAAAATTAAAAAAAAATTCTGGCAGGTAGAGCAGGTGTCCTCCCCCAGACAATCGCAAAATGTGGGGAGAGTTGGAGGGCTGGGGTGCTTGCAAGCAAGTCCCAGTTACAAGGATTAAAGATTTGCAACAGGTTGAGGGGAAAGAGCAGCGCCAGGTGCACGCGCTGGGACTGGGGTCGGACAAACAAGCCCCAAGCCCGATCCGGTCAGAAGTGCAGGGGGACAAGCCAAAAATTGTTCACCCCAAAGCAACCACCGGAATAAGGAGCTCGGAGGCTGTGGAGGAGATGAGGTGGGTGGAGAAAAAAGGATTTGTCTTCAAAAATTTTGTTTAAAATCTAAAGGACACCCTGCTCCTTTCTAACCCTCAGCTGCTAGCGGCGCGCGGCTGCGCGGACAGGTAGAAGGCGGCGGCTGCAGCCGCAAGGGTAAGGGAAAATGCTGAAATCAAGGAAAAAAAGAAAAAAGAAAAAAGCCCAGATCCAAAACCCTAACACCTCTTTTCTCCCACTCTGCAACCACCTCTTCGAAATTCGCAGGTTCTGCGTGAAGTCGGGAGAAGGGTGCAAACGGAAGGGAGGGTAATTAGAAGGAGCGAAAAAGAGGAAAAGCCCCACACGGCTTTGCAGCTCTTCCTAGCTCTTTCCCCCGCAGAAGTTTCCAAAGAGACTACCGGCTCCGGTCGAACGGGCGCTTTTAAATAGACGGCCCTGGCTGCCAGCCAGTTTGTAGCTGCAATTTGAGCTCCCCAACACCCAACCCAGGCAAGGATGCCAAGGAGCTTTGCAGTACGAACTCACACGGGGTGGGGGTGGGGAGAGGCCTTCGAGACACACGGGGGGCTCCCGTTCGCTCCGTGAACAGCGCCCTCCTCCCCCCGGAATGTAAGAAAGGGGCATGGGGGACTGGGCTGGGTCTGCACGAGGGAGGAGGTGGTCGGGGGCGTGTGGATGAGAGAGTTCTTCGGTGCTCGGTGGACACAATGAGAAGTAACTCAGTCTCCCCCTCCCTCCTACCCCTTAACCAGCCCAGGCCCAGGCTGGAGGCAGAAGCATTTTCTTAATTGCCAACTGGATATATACCGTGCCCAAGAAATTCTTCCCAAGCTTTGGGAAATGGCTGTCTGCTAGTGTCTCAGTGACCATGTAAGGGTGTGTACACGTGTGTGTCTGTGTGTGTGCGCACACCCCCGCTTGCTGGGGGGGGGGGGTTAGTGTGGGATGGCCAGAGATGGATGGTGAGCTGAATTAAAAGAAAAAGAAGAAAAACTGGATTCACTGCAAAAAGCCTGGGGAAGGGGATTTAATCAAGAGTTTCTGTTACTGGTGGAGTGACTCCCTGTGGGCACATGGTCAGGCCAGGGTGGCTGCTTCCTCCCAGGTGCACTGTTGACCCAGGAATGGGCGTGTGTATGTGTGTGTGTGTGTGTGTGTGTGTGTGTGTGTGTGTGTACCCACAGGAGGAACATTCGGACCACCGCACTGTAGGGATAGTGAGGCCGAGACCGGCAGTGGGAGGAAATGCTCAGTCTGAAAACCTGGCCTGGCCGTCTCGGGTGTCCTGGGTGGGATTTTTTAAAGGAAGGAAGGCCAATTGGAGTAATACTTTTCCTTCATGTTCTTTTGAAGGGACATTTCTATTGGGCAGGTCCACATCTTTGGGGGGAATGGATGGGAGTCCAGAAAGACAGCAGTTATAAGGTTAATTGTCACACACAGGTACACCCCAAGAGTCCCAGCTGACAGCCCCTGGGACTGGCTGTGAAGAGATTCTAACGAGGAACATTATCAGCCCATTTGAAACCTCAGATAATCTAGACAGACACTGTGGATTTCTCTCCTTAGCAAAATAAAAGAAAGCCCAAGTCTTAAGGAAAGTGACGGTTTTATTGTTTTCTGAAATTGACAGGGTGGGTTGTGGCCCTCACAAGCCAGGTCAGAGAGACATGACCAGTCTTTGCTGACCTGTTTGGGAGAAATGGGGGTGGCACTGTTACCTATCATGTTTCCCTTCATCCCCTTGGAAATGTTCTCACTTGCCTTGGGAGCAGGGGCTGCATTTCATGAAGTTTGCCACTAGACTGCACCCTTATCTATGATAAGAATTCTCTCTGCAGGGCTGCTCTGGAGAAAATACTGCTCTTGCTTGTTTGGTTCAGGGGCGATTCTGTCTGTGCTGTTAACACTCCCAGATTCTGATCTGTCCTCTCACTTATCTACTTGCAGATAGGCACGTCTTTTAAAGAATGAGTTTAAAGCCCTGCTTTTGCTTGTATTGCCAGAGGTGTTGGCTGGGAGAGGGAGGAGGAGCTGTGTGTAATGATTAAAAAAAGGAGTGAGGCTCCTCATCATTCCTTCCCCCCTCTGTCTGGGGCTTGGTAAGTTAGGGGGGAAATTAAGATTTAACAAATCTCATTGAAGTATCTGAGGAGTGAGCGTGATCGTCGTGTGCAATTTTCTCTTTTGTGTCAAGTTCGGACCAGAAGAGTGGCCGAACAGTGTGCTCTGTGTGCTCCGGCCCCTGCTCCTGTTTCTGCACCAGCCCAGCAGCCAGGCCCACCCCAGGCACACGGGGAGCATTTGAGATGAATGGGGAAATTGTGGTGCTCCTTCCAGAGAAACACGAGTTGCCTGGTCCCAGCCACTCTCCATTCTGAGAGAGACGGCCTCCAGTGACATGTCTTTTTGTCTAGCCGACTTCCAGTGGCTGGAAAGTAGAATGTATGAGGACAGGTGAAAGGAAGGGGGGATGATTCATAGGGAAGACGAAAAGGGTAGGGAGACAACGGAAGGGGAGGTCGTGGCAGGAGCCTGCCCTTGGGGTAGGGTGGGCTGCAGAGGGGGCCTCGGAGAGAGGGGACTCTGCAGGAATGTAAATCAGTGACCCGCTCTATTCTGGCTTAGAAATGGGCTTAGTCACGAGGGGGAGAGAGTGGATGGGGTATGAGCTGCTGTCCAGGGGACCCTCAGGTGGGCTCCCTGGAAGGGCATGAGAAAGAATTCTCAGTAGCCTGGGATTGTCTAAAGTAATTTTGTCCAAAGATGGGATACTGGCCAGATGGGTTTGCCTCTACAAGTCCCTCGTTAATGGATGACGCTGGAGTGGGAAGTTCTGTTCTGGGAAGCTGGATTTGGGGGGTGCCCAGGAGCTTTTCTTCATTTCATCCCCTGTCTCTTCCATTCTGAAGGCCTAGATCTGTTCACAATCATCCGCAGAAGATTGCTTCTGGAAAAAAACCTGTTAGCATTGGTGAACTTCGTTGGGAAGGGCTCTTTTATTCCTGCCAGATACACACGTCTGAGGCCAGGTTCACTTCCCCTCTTTATGGCCATGAGCTTCTCTACCTTGTTTCTTAACTCGAGTTTTGATGCCTTTCAACCACATCCTTCTTGGAGAAGTAAGAAGTTACATATCATCCACTTGTGTGCCGTTCCCCAGAGATTACCCCTCCCCATTCCTTTAAAAGATGAACTGGATATGAAAAGCAAATTTCAAGAAATGCAACCAAGTAAAAATTTATGCTTTTGCATGCACAACTTTTCAGAGGGTGCGTGGCACCTGTGTTTTACAAAGCTTGCATCCTTCCCCCTGATCATTTTCAAGGCCGGGGCAATGTCTGATACCATGGATTGGGGACGTTAGACATTTAATAGTTCATGAAATATCATGACTTTCTCTGGTTGTAAAGGAAAAAATGTCAGTAAAGGATCTTGTCCTCATTTTCTCTTGTCTTTATTGCTTTCACCACGCTCTCCGGCAGCTTTGCCTACCATTTTCCACAGCGAGTAATTATTCTGTTTTAAAGACCCTATGAAACTGACATCAGTTCCTTTCTCAGAAGCCGGGACACGCAGGGCATACTAATGCTGCCGCCTCATTCTGGTATGTTGACCTTCAAGAAATAAAGTACCTAGCTTCTCAGGTGTCCCTCCCCAGACCAGGGAAACGCAGCAAGATTGAGTGGAGAAGAGCGGCGGAAGGCAGCTTGGTTGCAGTGACGCGGCTGAAGGCTAGGTGGCAGAATGGATACATCATTTAAAACACACCTCGTTTCCAGAAGGGTCAGAGCGGAGACTGATGGAGGTCTTTAACAACGGGGGTGGGGTGCGGGAAGCAAACGCTGGGATGGGGGGCCACTTCCATGCTCTGTGGGCCCACTGTGTGCAGCCCCAGCCTGGGCACTGCCCTTAGTCGGGATGGCACCCATCCAGCGGGCGGTGCAGGGCCTCCGAGGCTCGCCAAGTGGCTTTTCACAGCCGCTTCACCTCGGAGTTGAGGCCCCGCCAGGTCAGAACATGATTACTTTGGGTTCATTGTAGAATGCCCTAAAGCTTCTCTGATAAATAATTAGGACATGAACTTCGCCCCTGTGCATAAGCAAATGGACTTTTTACGTTTTGAGATATAAATTATGGAATATTTCAAATATTCAAAGAGCAGGAGATAACGAAATGGGTATCCTCTGCTCGCCACACACATTCAACACATGTTAACATTTCGCCCTGCTTGTTCGAAATTTTGTTGAAAAGAAATACACTGGTAGAGGGAGCGGCTCACTTCCTGCCCAGGCCTCTGCTCAGCTTCCCTCCACAGTGGGAAAGAGTTTTGTGTCCTTTCTGCGCGTGTGTGTGGAGGTTTCGCATGAAGTCCCTCACAGAGCAGAGTGAGAACCGTTCTGAGGGTGAAAACCACACGCTACTTGAGAGTTAATTTTGTAGTGGTGCTTGCTATGGTGGCAATTTAATTAGAGTCTAAATTGACCCTCTGGCTGACTTTTGGAAGAGCTGGAGCCAACTATGACTCAGAGTGATTTATATTTCTGTGTGAGCAATATAGAAGTTAATCGTTTTAAGAACTGATGTTTAGGAGGCCTCTGGAGCCATTCCAGAGAGATATGGCAGAATCGGGGGGTGGCGGGGGCAGGCTCTAGAAATAGTTTCTGGTTGCAGGCTTCCTTATCTTCTTGGTTCATGGGATTCTGGGGTCTTTCAAACCCCAGAGGTGTGTTTGAATTTAGAAAAAATAAGATGAACCAGGGAAAAAGGATTCGTTGTGACTTAGAGGAAGTGTTGGTAGAAGCAGATCTGGGAGGAGAGGGCCAGGCTAGGTGGGGAAGATGGGGTTGCGTGGGGTAGGAGAAAATAGAAAGTGTTAACGGCTTGAAGGAGGTTTAATAAAATGCAGTGGAGCCACGAAAAAGCCAAGGACAGTTACAGCGCATGGCTGGAATCTGGGTTTCATTAGGGTTCAAGAGGGAGAGGTGGTGAGGACCATCTCGGGCCACTAGCCCTTAGGGCGAATTCGTGTGATTAGGAACCAGTGTCCTTCCTCAAGACTCTTTACTTCTAACTGCCAGAAAATGGCTATAAAATACAGATTTTGTTAGAACCAAAAACTTGACTACGCCTTCCAGGAAACTGCCCTCCTGAACGTGTGTGCCTCCAACGTGGGCTGTGTGACCACGTTGCCGCTCAGGTGTGGCTTTCACTGTGCAGGGCACAGCCTGCACAGCTTCCCGTACCGGCCCTACCCCCCCACCGTCCCTGAGGGTTGAGCCTGGTTTCCAAGCCACCAGGAAACCCTGCTTTTCTACTTGTGTGGAAAGGACTGGCCCAGTGACATGGTCTGATCCACTAGCAGGGGTGAGGGATGGACTCGA